GCCTTATGTTTTAGGGAAAAAAATTAAAATTTCATTTTTTTCGATTTGGGCCGATGGTTGCCTCTTACGCAGAAAACTTCAAAAGTTATGTTGATGTACTGCATTGAATGTCGGTTGATTAAACAGCTCGGTTCACCCTACACTAACTTGAGACATTTACAATGGATGATATAATAATTAAGCCATCATAACTTAAACGCATAAGCCCAATCAAGTTATAATATAATTAAATAAATACATAAGCAAAAGACGTGATAATTAATATTTGAACGAATTCGTTCGATTGTTAGTGTTTAAGAAACACCCAGTCTTGGTGTGTGCTTACTATTAACTTAATAAATTCATAACCGCCCTAGTAAGCGCTAAAGTATGAATTTAAAATATAGCTGATGTTCACTGCTACCTGAGCAATAAAAGCAAGTAAGAAAATTGTATTCGGTCGTGACCGAATCTTTTATATCCATCACCTTAATCCCTAAAAAAAGCAAAAAAAAAAATAAAGACTTAAATTTTCATATGTAGTAATAATAATATGGATTGGGCGCGGGTGATGTTTTCTATTTCCAAAATAAATGAGCATAGGCCTGCTGGCGTTCTAAGCGTGTCCTTGGAAAAGTTTAAGTCACTTTCCCACTCTTTTGGAAATTTTTAGGTGATATCTTTATTTTCGCTCACAGGAAAATGCTTACCAAAAATGCTACAAGGTTGTGCAGGCATACAAATCGACAGACAGACATTTCAGATTTATATACTTTATGGGTTTTTTGAAGCTCGTCTCTGCATGTTAAATTTTGATACAATATAATATTCGGTAGACGTGGTCAATCTTTTCCATTTCTATGCAGTTACACACGTGTTCACATTTTTTTTTTTGCATTTATCTGCTATAGTCTTTGAGTAATGACCAAAAAAAACGAACTATTTATTCGTTTTGAAAAGCGAAAAAGATGTTGTCACTTTGCCTAGTACGTGCCCTTCGATCGATTTGGCCGATTCATAAATCATTTAATCGCTTTCAAAATCATCTGCATGGAAGAACTCCCAATGTTTCTTTTAATTTGAAGTCGACAACAGACATGGCACAGACGGACAGACATATACTGTGTGGTGCCTGTGAAGCTTTCGTTCTGGGTGCTCTTCCTTCGATGATGGGTATAAACAACGTACCAGACAATAAATATATTTAGTTGTTTACTTACTCCGTGTAAAAGTTAAATCATCTTTCACTGGCCGTTGACCGATCCGTTTCGAGTATTTCAAAAGAGTTGACGCACACTCCATGAAATGAATAGAAATTTTTAATGAGCGAGCACATTCCGCATGGACTTCCTTACTTGACTTTCGTGACCAAAAACCACGCCAGGGTTCTTTCAAAAGCTTGTCTCTCCAGTGGCCTACAAACTGAAGAAGAGAACGGCATTTTTCGACTATTTTCTCAATGACTCCAATCATTTAGTTTCAAAAAGATTCAACTTATACACTGTCTTGCCTTCGTTAAGTTCGTTCTATTCAGCGTAACTATTAAGGAGAACGAGATATACGCGCGGTTTTCATTGCTTGTGTCGGTCAAATACCTTATTAGAATTATTTCAATTTTGTGATTCAATTGAATCATAGCAGTTTGTGCTTTTCGATCAAAATCGAAAATTATTAGTTAACAACAATTTATTTTTTCTTGTAACTTGGTACACGTACACTTGATAGGGATTAGCTTTTATTTTTATAGAATTTTAAGTAACTTTTATTTAATCGCGGGATGTTGTTGTCAAGTTTAAATAAATCATGCCTTAGCCAAAGGAATTGTAAATTTCTTCAGAAATTTATTCCTGTCAGTCAGCTGCTTGGACTGAAACGTCACGAGCATAAGATGCCGAAACATTTGGAAAATATGCTTGAAGAGAACGAGAAACCGAACTTTGCTCATATGGTTCAGTATTACTATCATGCGGCTGCATGTTTAATGGAACCGAATTTAGTGAAGGAATTGGAGAAAAAGTATCCGAGGGCAGATAATAAATGGCGTCAGGGTCGCGTTGCCGCCATACTCAAGTTTATCGGTGCAGTGTCGTGTTGCATAGAAGTTACATTTCCTTTATATAAAACTGATGGCACTTATGAACTGATAACCGGTTATCGAGCACATCACTGCAGGCATAGGTTGCCCGTTAAAGGAGGTAAGTAGCGAACGTACTTTGAAACAACTCTCTGACCTATTTGATGTCATGTTCTTTTCACAAGGTATCCGTTACGCTATGGATGTTGACCAGGATGAAGTTAAAGGTTTAGCATATTTAATGACTTTTAAGTGCGCATGCGTCAATGTACCGTTCGGTGGAGCGAAAGGCGGTGTACGCATCGATGTAAAAAAGTATCAAGATAAAGACTTGCAAATAATAACGAGACGTTACACGATGGAATTGTTAAAGAAAAATATGCTTGGTCCCGGAATTGATGTGCCAGCACCTGATGTGAATACTGGTCAAAGAGAAATGTCTTGGCTGGTCGATCAATATTTGAAAACTTATGGTATTTTAATAAATATTTTCGGAAAAATAAAGCGGAATAAATTTACGCGTCCTCTTTCTGGTAGGACACAACGATATCAATGCTTTGGCTATAACTACTGGTAAACCAGTACACTTTGGCGGTATACATGGACGTACCTCGGCAACTGGACGTGGAGTATGGAAAAGTGGTGATGTGTTTATTCAGGATCAAAATTGGATGGATTTATTGAAAATAAAAGCAGGCTGGAAGGATAAGACTGTAATATGCCAGGGTTTCGGAAATGTTGGCTCCTGGGCTTCGAAATTTGCAGTAGAAGCTGGCGCAAAGTTAATTGGTGTACAAGATGTCGATTGCTCGTTGGTCAATGAGCAGGGCATAAATCCGGACGTAAGAAGAAATTATATAATGACTTTTCTCCCAAACATATTTTAAGTGTTTAAAAGCATAGCATTATTTTGGACCTCATTTCGACCCACTATATTTAATTTGATATTCAATATTGGGAAAGCCAAAGTTTTAGTATTTGCTCTAAAATGATCGAATTTTTCTTACGTTTTATTTATGATTTCAGGAGTTAATGCTATATAAGGAGGAGAAAAAGACGATTAAAGGTTTTCCGAATACCACCGAAAAAGAGGGCAGCTTATTGGGGGAAAAGTGTGATATCTTAATGCCTTGTGCAACCCAGATGGTACTTACTAAGGAGAATGCAGAAAAAGTTCAAGCAAAAATTTTATTAGAAGGAGCCAATGGGCCCGTTACACCGGCTGCCGACCAGATTTTACGAAAAAAGAATGTACTCATGATACCGGATATGTATTGTAATGCCGGTGGTGTGACTGTTTCATATTTTGAATTTCTAAAAAATCTCAATCATGTCTCTTACGGCAAAATGACCGCTAAACGAGAATCGAGCGTGATCCGTGAGATGCTCGAGTCCATTAGTCAATCGTTAAAACAAACAATTGAACCAACGAAGAAGCTCGAAATTTTACGCGATTGCAATTCGGAAGCCGCTATTGTTGATTCCGGTCTACAAACTGTTATGGAAGCGGCCGGTCAAGGTATTAAAGAGACGTGCAATGAATATTCGCTATGCAATGATTTGCGAACAGCTGCAAATATTTTTTCAATTAATAAAATTTTTAGTGGTCTCGAGAGTTCGGGCATTTCGCAATAATAATTTCTCGAAATCTGATAAATAAAAGGTCTTAAATAAACCCATTCCCTTCAATCACTATTAACGTAAGTTATAATGATCGTTGTGTAACGTTGAGGAAAACAAGAGAGAAGAGGAATGTTACCCACAATTCGCACAGAGTGAAGCTTGATCTTATAGAATTATGGCTTACTAGCACTTTTATGGTTTGATATTTGAAAGATCACTTATTCGATCATAGTGTCAAAATTTTGGTTAATTGGGGAATCAAATGTGTTGCACATTGCGTGGCACCAATGGCTCGCAATGTGGGCTGTTTAGCGAGACGCCAAAGTCGCTTACTTTTAAGATTTGGTTCGTGATAAAAATCCCCTTTAATGGCATCGAAAATGTGGGACCTTTTTCTAACGAAGCTACTTTGTAAGTAAGATGACCCAAAGTTGAGGACAAAAGGACTGCAAATATACTTAAGCGAACTACCTAAACTATTTGAACGTTTATTTTTACACATAATTAGACGCACTGTTAAGTCGACATATCTTTGGGGTTCAGCCTTTCTTCTTCTTCAATCCCAATTACACTGAAATGTATGTGGGTATGCGTGCGTCCGTGTTTAGATTAATTCATCACTTTCCTACTATGGATAATTTCTTAAGTACTGTTCAGCATTTATAAAAGTAATACACTAGACCGCATCCACAAAGTCACGTGAGGTGAGTGATCGTATTTTCGGTATGAAATGTCAAACTGATTGATTTTCAATGGAGTGGAAGAAGAAAAAGAAAAATTGCTTGAAAATTATTTTCTATAATCTTTTGTAAGACTCCATGCTCTTCTCTGCACCAGAAATATCTATCAGCTAGGAATTGAGTGACAATGAGACTTTGAGTATCTACAAACTTTTGCTATTACGACATTTATTTCTACGACTTTGCATTAGTAAAACGGTTTTTATTAAATTTTTCAAGTCTCTATGTTGGCCCTCTCTTATTCCTAACGGTTATGCATTGCATGCCTACCAGCTTTTGCTATTATGTTGTGCATGTATTCACGCAACTCCGTCTGCAAACAAAATTCGAACATTCATTCGGGGACCCCACTAAGTATATATGTTCTTGATCAGCATCTTCATTCTAAATCGATTTCACCATGTCCGCCTGTCCATCTGAGTAACGTCTGTGGTAAACATGCCTCTGATCGACTTCACATTTAGCAGAAACATTGGAAGTCCTTGCACGGAGATTAATATCGAAAAGCGACCCGAGCGGTCGTACGACACACCCACAGTACCACGTACACTGAGAACACCTCTGTTTTTCAAAAGGAATAAATATTAAACTTTTCCTCATTACTGATAAACTATAGCCGATGAATGTACAAAAATTCGAACGAGTATTCTATAGGCGATGTTGTAGCATCTGCACAAAAATGAAAATTGACCACGCCTATCCAATATTATAGTGTATCAAAAATTAATTTTGTTTTCAATACCTTTGTAAAGCGGAGAAGCAAGCTTCAAAAACCATATAAAGCCCAATTGCACTTGGAACGATTAACCCTTTGGACATTCGAAAATCAAACTTCAGAACAGAATACCAATTCAATACTTTACTTAATTAAAACTGCCAGGCTCAATATCTAATGTACATTTATATAAATTAGGGCCGATAGAGCCTGTGTTGCTAGTGCTCAATGTCTTTTTTTTTAGTCTAAAAATTTATTTCATTAGTGTAAAATTATAATAATAATAATAATAATAATATTTCGAATGCAATCAAACATGTCCGTCTGTATTTATGTCCAAGTGTCTGTCTGCGCAACTTTGTTCTATTTATTATATTTCTCGTTAGTGAAAATGAAGATATCGCCTATAAACATACAAGAGACTTTGGAATTGAGTCCAATTTTTCCAAGAAAATGATTACAATGCCTACACGTCTATGCGACAAACTTTTTTATTTTGAAATTAGAAAAAATCACCTTGAACTACATATTGATGAAATATAAAAATTGAAAGAACATGGCCTAGCGACATATAAGACATTTCTACGACAAGATCTGGAAGTTATGAGAGCCTTCGTTAGAGTGGCTTAAATTTTCGGGATCGTGTTTTTCAATCATTCCGCTTTTTTTTATTTATGTACTCAAAGTCTTCAAACGGCTACGGAAGAAGGTTCATCTAGTTTGAATTCTTGTCTAGGCTTTTGTTCGCCAATACAGTTCATAGTGTTAAAGGAAGCACTTGTTCCTACTTAATCACAAAAATGGCTTTATAAAAAAAAAAAAACTTGATCATTGAATTTTTGATAAAATTATCAAAATAGAAATGAAAAAATTTTAAAATATTTTGAAGAAAATCTTATACGTCGCAGGAGCTGGTGTAGTTTTCTAGAAAGTTTAATTTATATTTTATTAATTTGTGAAAAAAGAATTTGAAACAAAATTGAGACAATTTACAAATTCGTAAAGGGATATTTTCTTATTAGATAGCTAAGAAGAAGGGCAGAAAGGCAATCACAATACACACTACACCATGGATAATATTGCAAAGAAGAATTTTCTTGAATTGTATTTGGTTAAGCAGAAAGAGCTTGGCAAGCGGCAACGTGAATATAAGAAAATACTTTCCACCAAATTGAAGACACGTAAAGAGACAATTATCGAGGCGAGCTATCAGAATGCTATCGAACAATTGCGTTTAGAGAAGGATGACCTGCGTGCGCAGATTTGGGTGGCCAGCGGTATAACGCATCAGCGCGATAATAAGCGTTGCTTGAAAAACATTAAATGCCACGTGCAATGCCAGGAGAGTTTGGCGGACGATATACGCAAGCTAAAGGTGGCCATTGCCAATTTGGAACGTGAGATTAGTCGTGTGAATAAACAAGTTTACGATTTAAATCGTAAAACTGTTCCGGATACGCAACACCAGGCCTACGTGGCTAAAGCACGTAAAAAGCTGATGATATTAGAGAATCAGTTGGAAGTCGGTATACGGCGAGAATGCGGTTTTGCCGCTGCAAATGCTGAGCTACGCGAGGAACTTATAAAAATCCTCAATCATCGAACCTTCTTCAATGAATCTTATACGAAATTGGTTCAAAAGTTGAACAGTGACAAAAAGTACTTAATTGATTTGATCGAGTACGCCTTGGGAACATTTGATAACTGCATTGAAGTATACGAGAAGATTGACAATATTATTAAACGTGAAACTAAGGAGCGCGATCTGCGTAAAGTAGAAATGCAAGGTATAATGCGAAAAATTGCCGCTGATGCGGACAATACCGAATTTATGGACATAAAAGGTAAGGCACGGGTCATGGCCGATCTGCAACCTAAAGAGTATGCCCGTCGTGAGAAATTCCGACGTGATCATACCAAGAAAATCAATTTATATAATAAGATTTTGGAAAAGATACAGGCTTACACACAAACGCAAAATGTTGAAAAAGTGATTGAGAAATTCCAACAACAGGAAAGTCTTTACTATTCATACTTCAATTATGCGAATGAATTAAGTTATCACATGACATTGCTCACCAATTCGGTGAATCGTTTATACAATGATATCGACTCGTTGAAGAAAGCGAATTTAAATACGCTACAAGAACAGACCGACACTATAGCTAAGCTGGAAAATACATTGCAGGAGAAGCAAAAGAAAAATGCGGAATTGAAAAAGATTAGCGATGCAAACGATGCACGATTGGATAATTTGTTGCAAGGTATTAAAACCCTATTCGATTTGTGTAAAGGTGACGCTGCACCTCTTATGGTCTTGCTCGGTAATCATACGCAAGTTGATCTCGTCAATGTACGTCGTTTTCTCAAAATTTTGGAACGTCGTATTTTCGATATTACAGCCAGTGTTTACGTTATGGAACGTCAATCTGACGCACGAAGCTATCCAGACTATGTCGTTAAACAAATTGAAAAAGTATGCGAATGGCCTACCGATATTAATGATATCGTCCTTACCCAACAATGTCCCGAATGTGCCGAAGGTGAAGCATTCAATATGGATGATGCTGGCGATGGTGGTGTTGTTGTGCATACCGTCGAAGAGGCTAAACAGAAATTGCACGAGAAAGTCAATCAACCAGAAATGCAATATCGCTTGCATAGCATCAGTCAATGCCGTTTACCGCGTTCACGCGTTTTGGCTGCCAAGAGACATGTGTGATATGCCTTATTTAGTATATCAGTATGTAATGTAACACTTTTTAGGGTCTTATCAGCATGAAGGATGTTTTAGGTTGTTACTCAGTTTTTTCTAGTTCAGTTTGATATGAAAGATAATGACGGCAGGACATAGCAGTTCAGTATTCCCAGAGATTTCCAATTTTGTAGAGATATCGTTATCAAAATAATATATATGTATGTTTTTTTTTTTAATTATACATTTAAATGAATAAATTTGGCATATATTTTGGACAGTTTTTCAAAATATCAAATGAAACTCGTCTTATAACAAACAACTGGAGACTCAACGCCAGAAGACTTATTTCTCTCAACTGTGAATCAATTTGAAAATTGAGATGTTTAAGTATAGCACTTGATATTTTTTGCTTTAAACAATTCTCTAAGAAAATCTCAGGTTTTTTGTTAATACTACCAACTCGGGTGAAGAATGGCGCAAGTGAATATGTCGCGCTTATCTGTAAATGTTTTTATTACCAAAGTGAACGATAACAAAATTTCAATATCATCTTAGGTTAAAGACCTCTACAGACGATGTGACCTATATTGGAATATATGCGAAAACATCTATTAGCAAAAAGATGAATGCATATAAAAGTCTTGTGTTTAAAAAGATAAAATATTGCAGATAAAAAAAATTCAAATTTCCTCACGTTATTAAAAGCGATCGCTATATAAACGAACTTGGAACCTCATTTCGAACAAATGCATTGAAGTTATATTATATATTAATATAATGTTTAGTATAAAATCAAGCATTTTTTAGTGTTCATCTTGGCTACGAGACAGCAACTAAAATTTATAAACACAATTGCAACCATGTACACAATGTAAGTGAGGAGGAATTCGGCTGCATCCCGGTCTCAATATTTGGTGGGATATCAATATTGTACTGAAGCCTTTGGGAAATTGGGAGAATTTGCAGAATGATAATCAAGAAATAAAGGTTCTCAACAATTTATTGGTGGTCAATAGTTTTCTGGCTGTATCCGATGCAGATTCTTTATTTATAAATCGTACCTTCTTTAATTTGATATGAATCGTACCTTGCTACAAACTCTTGTATAGAAATTCTAAATGACTTTTAAAATGTTAAGCGGATTAGTACACTGAGGAACACCTTTTGTTAAATCGTCATGCATTTATGTTCACTTTTAAGGACTTGGATGGATAAATAAATATTGGTCCCGGGAAAAGAAATGTCTTTGAGAAAAAAATCCTATACAACGCTATTAACAAATTATATTAAGGCTTACTCGAGAAATGTAATATGTTCAGAACTTACATTTAATCCATTAAATTCCATTAAGGAATTGTTTTTAATCTATGAATTGATTTATAAATCTTTTTTTTTTTGATTTTGATTAATTGCGAACAACTTTTACAATGGATTACTTAGTCATGCTAAACTACTTTGGTAAGTTAATGAAATTCTACAAACTATCTATTATTTCTTCTTGGGCTTTTGGGATTTTGTTCCAATTTGAGCAATTTTTTTATGATAAATTGAATTCGAGTAAAACAAATAATTTTTTTTGTCGAATATGATAATGCTGCTTATTTATAATTTTAACGATATTGTTGTTGTATTATAACTATCTTCGTATCTGTTGCGGTAGAAGTACTTAACGTTTGTTATTTAAATGATTTTTAAGTAAATGATTTGCAAAGAAAATTATACCTGATAGCTATGTAAATAAATAAATACAAGTAATTATGCAGAGTGTTTTATATCAGGTTTGAAGGTTAAGAATAAATAAATTATAAAAATGCTACCGAATTTCGGCGATAAAACATTTTACGTCGAATTTTTGACACCGTCCATCTAACTTCGCTCAATTTTGAGCGATGGGCTTAAGGCAAGAAGCAGATTAGAAAATCGCAGGATTCTAACCCTAATTTTGCACTTGTACAAGTTCGAACAACAAAAAAATAAACCGAGACTTATCGTGAAATCGATTCATAACCTCAAACAGATTATACTATATTACAAATCGAAATTCCGAATATAATTCGCGATATGACAAGAATAAATATAATATAATATATGTAAAATATTGTGTTGATTGTACACTTACCACTTGGCTGATTGATGTCAAGCCTAACTAGACTAGCAAAGTGGAATTGCAGCCGTCGCGTCCGTTTGTTCACCGAATCTACTATATACATATACCAAGCATGTGCGATTGTAAATGCTATAGCAATAATCTACAGACAGATTGACGGCCATGGCTAAATCGAGGTGAAGTATCTTACTGTCGTTGAAAATGTACATAATTTTGGGTGTTACAAGTGGAAGGATACGTCTAGTATGCCGCCATTCTTCGATGGTGAATATACCAAACTAGCAAATAAAATTAAAAGGTGGTAAAAGTGGTACGAATTATAAACAAAAATGAGCGATAAAAAAAGGTTCGAGATAAAGATTACTTTAGGCCTTTGCGTGGGAACTTTGGATATAAACTTCGCTAAGATACCGAGTGATTTAAAAACTTAAGGAAAACTTTCAAATGGACAAGAAAGCCCGCAGAGCGTATAAATTACTTTGCAAAAGTTCAAATTTCTACAGTAGCGACCGCATTCTATGATAGCTTCATTATCGTTATATTTAAAAGACTTTCTTTCCGCGTTCGACTAAGTAAGACTATGACTAAACTATTTTTGCTGACGCTCTTTGCGATATTTGAGCATTTTCACATGATACCTCTACCATTGCCGGATACAGATGACAATATTGTAGAGATTGATAGCGACTACAACCCGGTGGAACCTGAAAATCCAAAAAATGTAATAGATTTAAGTTTTTTCGGCACCAATATTTATGGGATGCCCGACGAAGCTACTGCTCAATTAGTAGCAAATTATTCCGCGACGGAATCTAGCGTAAATCCCGAGGAATTGGGCTCCTATTTGGAAGGAGACATTTTGTTACCGGAAGATCAGGTACACATTAAAAATGGCGTAGTTTTGCCCAGTTCGCGTTGGCCCAACGGTGTCGTTCCGTTTGAGATACGCGGCAATTTTAACGCACGCGATATGTCTGTCATTGAACATGCGCTGGATCAGTTTCATCGTTACACTTGTATTCGTTTTGTACCCCGAACTGGTCAAGATAATGACTATGTGTCGATTGCTAATGGCAATTCGGGTTGCTGGTCAACAGTTGGTCGTACCGGTGGTCGACAGGAAGTGAATTTACAAAGTCCAGGTTGTCTATCAAAATCAGGTACCGCCATTCACGAGTTAATGCACGCTTTGGGCTTCTTGCATGAACAAAATCGTCAGGAACGTGACGATTATGTGGCCATACAGTATCATAATATCGAAAAACATGCTATAGGAAATTTCGAGAGAGCAATTGAAACAATGTCTTTCGGAGTGCCCTACGATTACGGCAGTGTTATGCATTATTCACCAAATGCCTTTTCGTCCAACGGAAGACCGACTATAATTCCTTTAGTAAGTAGTTCTTGGTTTTCTTAAGGAAAAATCCATTACTTTTTCTTTCTGTATTTAGCGTTCTCTTGCCGATAATGTAATGGGTCAACGTAATGGTTTCTCCGCTTTCGATATTGAAAAGTTAAACAACATGTACGATTGTGGCTCTCATTCTCGTCCTCCTTTAAGTGGCCCCGACGCAATTTCTAATGGCATAGAAAATAACGTAGTCAACAGTTTTGTAGGAGGTTTTTTAACTGGTCTTGGCTTAGCAGAAGAAAAAGTAGATGCTTGAATCAAACGTATAATATCGCGTGGATTACAACAACGTTTTGGAAATTTTACACAATATTTAGCAATTAAGTCTATATTTTGTTTTTTTTTTTTACCGCCATACACTTAAAAGAATTAAAGCATTCCATATATTTAATCGAAAGAAGTATTAGTACATTTTTTTGCCCCCTCTCTAAACATCCATACTAATATCCATAACACTATTTGTATCAATATTGGTAGTATTTTTGGATATGTCGTCTTCATCGTCAAATTTCAATTTCATGTTCGAAAATTTCACCGGTGAAGGCGATGTCTCCTCTTCAATGGTAGCAATTTTAGGAACCTTAAAAGGTGCATTATTCCCCCACGTAGAAGATGAAGTTAGATTTGATTTTCCATAAATTTCATCAATTATTGATTCTTCATCCATGAAATCTTCAATGCATGTCTTTAGTATCGTAGAGGTGACAATGCAATCACGATTCAAAGCTAAACTTTTATGAAAAAAAGAAATAGCCTCTTCTAAATTACCCATCAACGCGTGGACAAAACCAATAGCAGTAAATGTTTGCGAGCTTTGAGGTTTCAAAAGTAAAGCCTGTAAAGAAAACAATATACGAAAAAGAAAACACCATCACAATTGGATCAAATCTTCCATCCACATGCATCAGCAATAAATAAATTTCGTAACATGCTAAGGGGAAGAGAAGCATTCTACTCTGCAATATGAAGGCAATTCAAACGATTCCATTGCTTAAAAAGCAGTATGCGATCATATCTTTATAATATAAAATTTGGAGCTTATCCGAAAGAATAACATATTTAGCAAATTATGCACGGACTGAATGCACACGCCATCATAATAATATAAAAATTTTGAAAATATTCTAAAGAGTATCGAAAGGAAGTTTTAAGTCTTAAGTTTGATTTCCTATTTATCGTTTTTGCTCAAAATCGTGATTTTAGTAAGGGGCAGAAGGATAGATACGATCAGATTAATTGCGTTAATCGCGCCAATCAAGATTTTTTAGACATACGTAGAAACGTTACAAATATTTCAAAAGACTTAAAGAAATTGAAAAAAAAAACTTACGAATTGATGATATTTTAAGGCTTCTTTGTACTTCTTGTTTTTGCGGCAGCAATGTCCTAAATTATTAAATAATGGTTCCCATCTGGCTGATATTTCTTCTTGATTTTGTTTTGCACGATTAGTAACGATATCAACGGTTGTGCGGAAAACTTCTTCAGCACTTTCGTAACTGTATGCAAATATAAAGACATTAAGTAAAATTAAGTAAGTGTTTAAGTGACTTATATTAGCTTACTATTCATATTCATATTTAATGACACCCAGCTCATGTAAGACAAAAACATCTATGGGAGCTATAGACATGGCTTGATAAAAGAATTTTTCTGCTAATTCCAAGTTTTTAGTTAAGCCGCATTCTACACCAATATACAGCAAAGGTAAATGACAGCCACGCATCAGTTGTGCAGCCTTGAAATACGCAGCCATAGCCTGGAAAATATAATAAAGAATATATATGAACACTTTTTATATGTGCTGTGGTTAAATCAATTACTTACTTGGTCATGTTCATTTTCTTTAGCAAAAGAGTGGCCGTAAGCCAACCAAGCAGGGCCGTACAAACGATCTAAAGCCGTGGCTTTCGATAAATAGCGACGAGCAGGGTCGCTTTTACCAATCAGATCATAGTAACATCCTACTGCGTACCAAGAAATAGCTTTTTCCGGGTAACGGTCCACCAGCTTATGGGCCACATAAAATAATTCTTAAAAAATGTAAACATTATCAGTATTATAATTATAGTTTTAAAAAAATATATCAACGTACTATTATAATCTCCAAACTCGACTAAACAGCCTATTTGAACGGTCAAAGCAGCGTTATGATAGGGATCAACTTTCAATAAACTGGCAAAAAAGTAACTAAAATATCTCTAACTACCATTTAACTTTCATAAACTTACTCATTTAATATTTTAAAACCTTTCTTATATTCGCAATCATAAAAGAGTTTCTCGGCCTGAGCAGCCATGACATCAGTACTTTTGTGCACGCGAGTCAAGCAAACCGATATAGGTAAGCAAGTATTGGAGTCGCATGCATCTTTATCCCGATTACGTCCTGATGTCTCGAAATGCGAACGCTGCAATTCGTTCGAATGGGACGAGGCACGCGTTAAGCTAACGTGCAAAGAAAAGCTGGGAACCTTGAAATCTTCAAGGACTCTGTACAATAACGAAGGAATAAAAATGATAAGGCAATGTCAAAATGAACAAAATTGTGCAGTAAATTCATACTTATGAGCCGGTGACATAATATGAGATGATGAGGGTGTTATAAATTTAGGCATCACATTTTTGTGTATATTGGCTTCAGATGCTCGTGTGTTTTCAATTTTTTCATTCAACTCTTTAATAGTTTTCAAGTTGCCCAAATTTCCTATTGGTGTTTGCTCACTATTGCTTGCCTATGGAATGATTTCCTTCAAATTAGTACAATTGGAAAAATATTTACAAATTACCGGCCCTATGGTTTCATAATACTTTTTCAATTTGGTTTCATACAGTTTAGTAATTAATTTAGCATCGACATAGGATGATTGCTGTTCTAAAGGCAATTGCTGCATAAGTTCCTTTCTAAAATAAAGAAACGTGATATGAGGAGAAAATGAAGATAAGTTGACAAAAAAAAGCAATCATAACGTTAACCTTCCCAAGCCATAAGCATTTCATGTTGAACTAAGGCTTCGAGAGCCTCATAGCAGTAAACCGATTTATACAAAGCCTGGACATAACAATCCATTGCTAAGCCACGATTATCCATAGCTTCGTATATTTTGCCCTTTAATAAACTAATAGATGCAAGGATTTCCTAAAGCGTGAATCCCAGCTTACGCCATCCTTCTCTTATTAAATATGAGTTACTTACGTTTTTACCGCACACTTCACCTCCAAACATTATCTGACTTTCAACACCACCGCCATCCAACGATTCCAACGGTTGATTTATTAACGACGAAGCTAAAAACTCTACATCCACCGAGTTGATAACTGCTATGGCTTCATTATATTCCTTGGCTTCATATAAACTTTCCAACAAAAGATTGTAACTAGGTATGTGAGTTTTCTCCAATTTATGCATACGCAATGTATAAGCGGCACGATGATATTCTTTCAACAGAAACATGCAATGGGCTTTGGAATAAACATCTTTGGGATCATTTTCACTCAAGCAAGCAACTTTCTCGGCCCAGAACAAAGCTGTCTGATACCGTCTTAAATCGCAAAACTGCTTGACTAGTTTACGATAATTGTCTAAATCAATGGAACCCTTCTCTTCATCAGTATTCGTGCTATTGCTACGCATTTCATTGCCCGTCATACTAATTTCACTTTAATAAGAATTTGTCTAAAAATGTTTTTTCTCTTTTTTCGGGCAATTTTTCGTACCGCACAAATTTTTTAGTAGAATTTTGCAAATTATTCACAAATAAATGATTTAAAAAGTATATTGAATTTGGTGTCAAATATTAATTTCGTTTAATTTTTTTCTTAACAATCCGCTTTTTTTTTCTAACATACGCCGCTTGGCTTCGCTTCTATTAAACATGTGATTTCTTTAATTTCATATAAGCTGTGTGCAATTTACATGTGCATGCATGAAGGCAATGCTTTTGAAACTGTGACATCTGCTCGCCTGTGAAATGAAGTGAAAATAACAAACCGGAATGAAACGAAAAATGAAAATATGACGCGTACATAAGTAATTTATTATTCTCAAGTATAGAAAAGCAGGTTTCTTTAGTTCCTTTATTAAATTTTTGATATTACGTATGTAAAATAGTTAAAAATGGACGACAGCAAAGAAAAATAGAATATAATACTTTTGTAACTGCGTATTTTTATGAACTAAAAAGCAATATTTTTTTTTCGGAGAAGCCGAGCAAAATATGATATGTCATCAAAAAAAAAGGGATACAGTGCAGATTTATTTAAACCACCTCATGTCTCTATACATCGCAACACACACACATAGTGGGCTTTAAGAATATTGGTTTATGGATGATTGACAGATATTTGAGTGAACAATCCCATTTTCGAGCAAAGAAAACCTTTCTTTTTTTAATAAAGAATATATCAAAGATTAAGTTATCCAAAATTTTTGCTTTGGTTTATGCTTTGAATCTAAAACGGATAACTATAGACCAAAAATTAATAAACAAAAGTTAATAATTGCATTGCCTGGAGTAAAACACTTAAGGAAACTATAGCAAATAAGGTCAAATGATGTGTTAACCGACCGACTGTCTTGCCGCTATTCGATCGAAGTGTATTCTGCAGATTTTCGTGTTCCACCAGTCGATTGCGATCATGCTGTTCATAAAACTACATAAGATCACGCAAGATCACTATTTAAAATATCGTTAGTCCAGTGAGATCTTTTGTAGTATTTCGCAGATTTTCGTTAGCTTTGTTGTTCAAAGACCATAACATATCTTAGAAAGAGGCGCTTCAGAGTGAACGATTAATCGTTTTGGGCTGTTGTAGTAAAGTTTTGAAAAGTTTTAAATAAAAATTGGTTGTTTTTCTTTTTTATTAATTTTAACAGTTTTTTTTTTTAATATTTATAATTTATGCTGAGTTGAGCATTATTGTTTTGTTTTTAATTAATTAATTAATTATGTTAAAGAAACTAAAATAAAATTAATTAAATATTATAATAACTTCTCAGAAAACCGAAGTTATAATATTTTCAATATTTTATACATTCAGTTTTTCTTTTTCTTTTTTTTTTTTAAACAAATCTAATTTCGAAATTTGTTTTTATATAAAAAAAATTATGTATGCATATATAAATATATACGCACACAAATATATATGTGCATATATAATATATATATATATATATATAACTATATATAACTATATATATATATATATATATATATATATATATAAGATATATGTATGTATAACTAACTGTGTATAATAAACTCTCGGGTCTCACGGAAGCACACATGCACTGAGAAATTAAAGAAAAAAAAAATGTAAAAAAACCTTAAGAAAAATAAACGAGTGAAGTATAAATATAAATAAATTTAATTATTAGACATATAGTACAAAAAATAAAAGAACTTGAAGTCTAAGACACTTAAATTTTATGAAAAAGTTTTTTTTTTTCTTTTTGAAAATTTTTGCGTTGAAATAATATGATTTAAAAGCTTTAGGATTTAAGAATGAATTAAGAAAGAATGCCAGAAAATTCACCCTAATATCACTTTATTTTGGACGCTCAGTCAATTCTAAAATTTAACGAACTTTATATTATGGCCATTTCATCTGTTAATTATTTATTTGAACATATTTTGGATTCATTTTTGTTGATAAATAATTTTATTAATAGTTTTTATACCCAGCAGCGGTTGCTGTTGTAATCACTGGCGATCTAATAAGCAGTAAATGCATTCTTGATCAGCAACTGACCGTCTCTATATGGAAATCAGCTTAAAGTTTATACACAAGACTTTTCAATTATTATATTCCTTTTGAGGTTAAGTAGTAAGGTTTGTTCGTGCTCCTTGCGGTTGACTTAATCAATCAGAAATGATTTCAAATTAACTAAATTTATTTAAGAAATTTCATGCACAGTTGAAACAAGTTTAGCTTTAGCTGGAGGCTAATTTATTACGATTATAACCTCTCGACCTAATTGAATGTGTTCTGAAAAACTCCGAAGCCATATGTGCATTTTATATTTCTTATAAAAGATGTTCAGTAAGGGAAACGAATGTTATGAGTACGGGATGTGCGATCAGTCGGTTGTGTGACACAAGTGAATTCAAGAAATATATCTGCCCAATTTTAGGCTTCAATGAGAGAGATAATTTCGCGATCTTGACAATTTTTTTAACAGACAGACGATTACACGCGTAAATCGTCCCCAAATCCTATGTGGATTAATAGCACGCACGTTTTTTTTGTATGGTTCGGCTAAGGTATCATCTGCTCCTGATCTCATATATATATGTTACTAAGATATTTATATAATGTTATACACTTAACTACAGGGATGTCCGAGCTTTCATAAGGTGTTACGTTTACAGTATGTCAGGGCTTGCACGAATAACGCTGCCAGGTGAGATAGACTTCTTTTTTTTTTTTTTAATATCATGCCTATGCTTACGCAAAGCGCATTATGCTTATGCAGAATTTCTTAGTTGCGTAACATAGCATTGCATGTTAGATAGGCGTAACATGTTACGAGCGCACAGCATGTTAGACTTACAGTAACATTTTTCGATGAAATAAATTTCTTTTTTTTGTTTTGCATAAAGACATGGTTCGATATCAGCCGGATACAATTTATTTCTTGTCTACTTTTAATTTTGCAATTAATTAAGTTTGATACTTTTTTTTTTTTTTTGTTTTTAATTGCACTATTTTTCATTTACTTATAAAAATTTTTAATTTGTTGAGTTAATAAAAAAAACAAAAAAAAAAATGTCGAATAAAAGAAATGTCTTATAGGTCATAAATATTATTACATAAAAGAAAAAGTTTATTTTATCACTTAAATAATATGAAAAATGATCCGTTCTTTTTGTTTTATTTTATTAACTTAATTTTTAACTAATAAAATTAACAAAATATTACAAATCGAAACTAAGACACAGAAAAATCTCTATCACTTATATATAAAATTTAATTTCTTTTTTTTCTTTTTTTTTTATCATTTAATTCGTAAATTTAAAAAAAAATTTAATTTCTATTATTGTAATTAAACTTAAAAAATTACATCACGCTTTTTTTTTGCAATTAATTTTATATATAGTAATAAAATAAACTTTAATTTGAGATAAAGTTGGAGTAAAAACTTAACGCGCCATATATACATAAAATATTTTAAATGTTAAGCACATTTTTTGCTATTAAAGAAAAGTTTCATTGAAGAAAAGAGGCACAAGCTCTTATGCCTCTATAATGGCGACATTTGTTTTTTTTTTTTTTTTTTTTTTTTTTTTGCTTAAGTCTATATTTAATAATCTTTGAATTCGTTCAATCATCGTCTTTCTTTTCAGTTTTGAGGTCATATTTAGCACACAATTCTTCTGGCGAACAACTGGAAAGAATAAATGTCAAAAAACGTCAGTTATATGAAATAATAAATGAAATTATTAACAAATACGGAGGTAGGTTTGACTATCTAATCGTGAAACGTCATTCGCTCTTTGGTATCTCAAGATATTTTGCACGATTCTAAAGGTCATTTTTACATTGACTAGATATTAGGCGAGTCTGTTCAACTAACAATAGTGAAGTGGATAAGCAATATATATATAGCAGCGATATATGACCTTCAGATCTAAGCTAATTTTTTTAAAATTGAAGATAAAACTGTTATGCGCATTTGCGTCAACAGGGAAGCTTGGAATGAAGGCTATATCGCTTTGCTTCGTCAACTCAATTAGAAAGTTCTTTCATACATGGGTCGCTTTACGTGAGCCTAATGTAGTTTAGCAGCAGCTTGTGATTGAAGTTAGTATATGTATTATGAATCTTGAAATTCCAAGAGAATTCTCCATTAGAGAGCTTTTCGAAAAATGTTGCAGGAATTTTATATACTTCATCGAATGCTAGTCTTTTCATTTGTAATGTATAGAAATGCGCTTCAGAGGTCACCTAACTTATGGGCACACATGTTCGCCATCACATTCTGAGTCAAACTAATTTTGCGCCTGTCGTATGCATATTTATTTGTCGTTTATCTGTCGCACACATATGTCGCTGGAAAGCCAATTATTGCAAAGCTTAATTACAAAAGTTGAGACTTGGCAAATGTATTCTTAGTTGTTGATCAGAATGAGCGCCATTAGGCTACAATCGCAATAGAAACTAAAGTTTAATTCGCAATCCTTAGCATATATTAAACTCAGTTTAACGAAGACAATCGAAAACTGCGTTGAACAAACGAAAGTGATTCGTCTGCAAAAATGACAACAATAGAGAAACAAGTAAAAACTGTAATGGAGCCCGGCCCGCGCTTTAATACCCTACCACACCATACATCTCGCCATATATATGTTTTCCAAAACAAGGGAAAACAAAGGAAACGTTCGAGCTTTGAGCGGAAATATGTCAGTTTATTAAATTTCTGTAGGTTGAACATAAAAAAAAAGAACAAACGGACAGACAAGCTCAAAAACATTTCTTTAATCGATCAGTATAATAAAAGGGGGATGTAACTGAAATATTTCTAAATGTTGCAGACATCCGCGTCAACTTAATATATCCTTATACCGCAAGTTGTATGGAGTATAAAAATTGTTACTTAATATCTTTCGATTACACGTTATCTAAAACCAGGGTAAATTAACCTTTTATTGGTCATTATATTAACTGCAAATCCCTTGCTCTGGGAAGGAGTGAATATTAAAAAGATTTTTGAAAGTTGAAGAGATCGGCTTAAAAATTTTAATTTCAGAATTTGGTCAAACCAGCATTGTATTGTGATTTGGATACACTTGCCTCGAAAAGATTAGCTTATTTTCAAGAAAACTTGTGAAGATGCCCTGCCCCTGAGAGAATCACAAAAGTTTACGAAACGGACGGACTGATGCATTTACACTGTCGCACTGCATTTTTGACTTTTGTTCTTTAAAAATATATTAATTTTCTCATATTTTAACCTCCTTAGGCGTGGTTTTGAATTTTCTAAAAGAGTAATCAACTGACTAAACATCTCATCATTGACTTACCCAATTAAATTTTGTAAATCACATACAAAGCGATAAACATATCGTTTACCAGCCGTCTTATGGATAATGTTTTTATCGTAATAGTAGCGGAGGCCTCTGCTTAATTTTTCATAGTTCATTTTTGGTTTATTTTTGCGTATACCCCAGCGACGAGCCACCTACAAAAAGAAAACAAAAAAAAAAAAAAAGAAAAGAAAATAAATGTTAAGTAAATAAAAAAGCAATTATTGTTATTAAATAGAAATAACTTGATTTACCTCATCGGGATCGGTTAATTTAAATTCCCAACCGTCACCGGTCCACGATATAAAACCTTGACAGGTTTTATCCATTAGCAGCTCCAATAAAAATTGCCACAATTGTATGGGTCCCGAACCTTGAAAACAGGGTACACCACCTTGGGTGGTATAACCGCCGAGTAAAGCTTTTTCGAGACCCATCGACGAAAGATATGCAGCTGGATGTTGATTTGAATGATGAGTATTCCATTGATCGGAGCTTGGCGGTTGACCGGCCATCGCTTGAAATTGCGGTGCATCGTATGGTGCAAATTCAGATGGATAAGTTTCATGGAATCGCGAACGCCCATAAGCATTGTATTTCTGTTCAACAGAGGCAGCATTGAGCCCATAGAAATCCGCACTATTATCCAAATAATTCGACTGATTTTGATGATCTTGTGAGGAAATGCTACTATGATAGTCACTATCATCATAATGGCCGGCCGCAGCAGCCGCTACGGCAGCAGCATTCGCTAAGTGAGCTGGCAGCCCGAAATTAGAGAGATCAGTGGGATCGTTTGACGTGGAACCGTTTGGTGCTGCACCGGCGCCCGTATTTGTCAGATTACCGTAAGTAGTTTGGGAGCCTGGCTCTTCTTTCATTTGATGTTGCGTATAAAAAGCGGCTGCAGCGGCCGCTGAATTTCGCATAGCCATTTGCATATAGTTTAGATTGGCACCATTGCTGTTATTATTGTTGTTATTGCTATTGTTGTTATTACTATTGACACCACTGTTCGGTGAGGCACCAGTATTAGCAACGGACGTAAGGGCTGATGTCGATGTTGTACTTGTACTTTGAGCGGTTTGTTGCTGCTGCGCAGCGCCAATGCTTGGAGGCGGCAGCATCGCCGTATTACTAACAGCTTGTGGTGGCGGGCTATTTTGACGTTCATGGGGATTTGAATAACCTAAAAAGAAGAAACAGCAATAAAAGATTTGAATAAAAATAATCGAAATAACCATATAAGTATGTGCATATATATATGTGTGTATATATATATATATATATATATACTGTATGCATATTGAAAGTGTTAAAATCTGGAAAAACTCTAAAAAAAATTGTTGTTTAAATTGACTTCGACTCTCCGAAGATCCTTGAATCTAAGGAAAGGTTTTCCAAAAAGTTCAAAACACATATATACAAGCAGTCCAGTTTGGGGTCGTTGAATGAGAGAGGGATGATCTTTCATTATTTTTTTTTAAAGAGAGTTAATCCAATTGATATATAATTTTCAGAGATTCTGGGCAACAGGCCTTTAAAACTGGCGAGTAATATTTCGAATTGCAAAGAACTTTTCCCGTCCATTCCCTATCTATATTGCTTTTATTGAAATGCAGCTAAGTTTGCTGCAGAGCTTAGCACTTGTAAAGCTAAATAGGTAGCAGCATTTGCTTTGCACATTTTTGTTCTCAGTCACCTTTCAACGTATGCTCTAAGACGACAAATGTCGGAACTTGTCGCCAGTCGTTTGCCTTTTGAAACAATTAATTGATTCGCATCGCTTGCTGTTCGGAAAAGAGTAATATGTGAAAAAAGGACAAAAAAAGGTCATCGTTTTGCATATTATCCATCCATCTATCCATGTTGTTTGCGAAGCTTTGGAAACAGTCAGCACATATGGTTCCACTTGCTTGCGTGTGTGAGTAACGTGCTCGCTAAGCTCGTGCAAAGATGTGAAAAAAACTATTTGATCAATGGTTTACTGCAAAGGAGGACAATTTTTAAAGGCGTGCCATCTAGAAATTATCAGACAAGTGGGAAATGCGGATTGCGAGCGATGCTCAACCCTACGAATAAAATATTTTTTTATCACTTTCATAAAATAGACGTGCATTTTGTATACAAAAATTCTGGTTTCATATTTACATATCCATCTATGCTATTTGAAAGAGTTCTACGTATGTTTTTATGAAATTTAAGTTGCACCGTAAGCTTACATCTGGCCTTAACTCAAGACTAATTCTAAGCTAAGCATATGTAGGCTGCCTGGGTGCCAACTTTTTATTTATCAATCTAAGTTCTTGCCCCAAACTACGAGATACCACGTAGCGCGAAACTTTTGCTACATACGCTTACTACCTCGTAGTTAGTAGGTAACGTCTTAGACTCAATTATATTAAAGCAATGTTTTAGTTAAATCTTTCTTTTTAGTGCGATATTTTTCTTTAGCCAGCAAGCCATTAAAAATAATAATTATTTATTTAAATATTCCCTATTAACAATATTATGTGTTAATATAAAGATGTTTAATGAAGGCGTGACACATAAAGATATATCATTATTAGCAATAACTTCATGTAAATTACAATAGTTTACCCCTTTCTATTAAAAAAATATAAAAAGAGAGAAATTTCTAGCTCTTCATAAAAAAAAATTAAAAAGAAAAAAAAAAACAAATAAAAAACAACAACATCGACGCTCATTTGATAGCATTCGAAAACCAATCAAAATCGAATAAGACACAAATGCTAATGAGAGAGACAAAAAATTAAACAAATAAAAAAAAAAAAAAGAAAAAAACAAGAAGACAACAAAAAAAGTGAAATGAAATCATCACGCAAGTCTAAAGCTAAAGCTCATAGAAAGATACACCTCTATGGACCTATACGTCTCACTGCTTATGAGGATGCGAACATTTACAAAAACTCTTCGTTCATACTTATGTGCGCTTACATATGCACGAGTGTAAATATATACTCAGTGGGCAATGTAGGTATATGTTGGTCTCTAAGCAATATCTAAATCGAAATCGCGCCACGAAAGAGACAGAGAGAGAGAGAGAGAGAGAGAGAGAGAAATAGAGAGAAATAGAGCGAGAGCGCAAGTTAAGGCAATAGATAAACTTGTGAGAAAAATATGAAGAAAAATAACAAAAAAAAAAAAAAAAAAAATGAAAAAACCTGTTGCTGACAAAAGAGCAAGAGATGTGAGCGTCGACTCACATAAACGTACGAACCTGCATTGGCATGTATGAATGAGAGATGAATATTGAAAAGGGTTCATTTCTAAAGCATTCAATTTCATTTGGTCAACTATTTGTTGTTGTTGCGGTTGAGAAAAACTGCAAAACACGAAATCGGTAGTGGCTGTGATTCGTTGCCATTGTCGTTGCAAATAATTAGTATATGATATATGATTATTGTGTTGTTGGGCTTTTTTGGTTTGGTACTATTTTTCTTCTTCTTCTTTTTTCGTTTTGTTTTTTGTTGTTGTTTACTTATATATCAGAGATCCATAATGCGCAGATACAGAAGTTTTAATGAGATTTATGTGTAATACGTTTGAGTGCTTTTAAGATGTTTTCATAATGTATTACTCCACCCCTTTTTTCAATATGCTGCTGCCGCTGTTGTTTGGTAACAGGGTTGTTGGTTGTTGGTAAAGCGTAAGATTGCATATATATACACACACACACACACACACACACACACATACAAACACAATTAAAAATCAATTCATTTTGTAATGTTTGCTTTCAACACAAATCTTTTTTGCCTTTGACAACTTGTTGAGTTGTTGAGTCGGCCAAGAATGGGAATTTTATTACCTTTTACCGCTAGAGGCAATTGAACGGCACCGGGCCATTTATTTATTAACGATTGCCATATCAACCCACATCATAATAAAAGGCGAGAAATTTTCTTGCTTTCGGTTTTTCAAATATAAGTTAGAATTTAATTAAAATGTATTTAAAGCTATATATGCATGCGTAGATATACAACAAAAGCATTTGTTACACCCTCACCCTCAACCTCATCGTCATCAAGAGCATCGACATTATTATCGTTATCATAATTGCGTTGTTATATACACTTGCATATAAATAAAATCAGTTTTGAATTGGAAAATATGTTAAGCCTTTGACTATTTTTGTAACCTATACATGTTACATGAGAGCGGCGATACGGAAGTTGTTTCTTAAATGAAGGCACGTGTAACATTTTTTATTATCATAATTGGTAGACTTATGCTTTTGATATATGAGTAAGTTGACTACCACAAATCTTTATCCAAGTCGGGCTCTATTCGTATTATATTTCCCGTTACGAAAAATTAAATTAATGGAAATTTTTTGCGACAACTCGCTTAGGAGCAAGTTAGACTGCAAGCAAGACTGTTTTGATGTATTCTTTACTATTACTATCACGGGATTTTCTGGTAGCGGACGAAGCTCTTCTTTTTATTGATTGTTGTCGGACACGGAAGTGTTATGAAATATTTTTTCTTGTGATTAACGCCATCCGTCCGTCACAAAAACCAATCTAGAAAACTAAAAGTTAGCCTATGATTATCAAGATAAAGTATAAAATTTCACAGAACCAATCCAAGAACACGTCTAAGATGTATTAGTATATCACTAATAATAACATCCAATCAATTAAAGGCGACTTAAATATTCTTGAAATACCCATAGGCAATTTAGTTAAACTTTTTCTTTATCATTTATATTTGAAGATAGGGTAGGTAGGGTATTCAAAAAATGACCTAAAAGTGTATATACATGTATATATATATATATATATATGACTTTCTTATTTTAATCAAATTCGTTTAAATATTTATGGTTTTCGGTGAATTTTTTTTTTTTTTTGCGTGAATATCACTCATCATCGTTGTTAACTTTGTGATAATTAATGCAATGTTAACATGATGTTTTATAAGGGTGTTGATGCGATAATTTCTTTCATTTATTGCATGGATATTAATAACTGTGTTCATCGTTACTATCGCGTGTGAATGTAATTATTTGATTTTGTAGTATTCGTGAAGTTCGTATAAAATTAATTTAAAATTTAAGATGCCCAAGCGCTTTTGATGTTGCACTATATTTAAACGAAAGAAAAGTGTTAACTGGGTTTTACGCGTAACTGAACAGAAAATCTGCTTAATCATATAGGTAAATATTGTAGCTTTTTCAAATAAAAAGTTTTTTTAATATCTCTCAATATTCCTTTTATCCCTTTTCATAGGACAATCGCACAAATTAATAGCAAGAGTGCCTCGGATTGTGATTGTGTCACTCTTTGTTTTCTTCTCATAGATTTTATGATCGGGTTAGAGTACAACTCGTCAAAATCAACCTTCCGGAGTAAAACAAGGTGATCAAGTCATGCATGTGATATGGCTCAGCATATGGATATGTAAAACATTGTTTACATCATCAGATACTTCCTAAGGCTATAAGCCCCAGTTGACTTTCCTATGTCTCTCTATATGTCTGTGCGCCGTAGCAACTCTCGAATATTAAATGAATGCTCGAAGTTTATCAAAAGCTTACTTAGAAAGTAATTGCTTATATTATCTAGAGAAATGGGTACAATGGACCCATGAGTACTTCCATATGAGTTGATAAATGAAAATAATTTTGTGTAAGAATGGTGCGTACAATGCGTATTCGTTCGTTAAATACTCAATTAAGTTTCTATATTGTTTCCATAATGTTAATTAAATAAATATAAATAGACTTTTTCACAATGAAAACTAAAAAGAAGAAGCAAAAGAAAAAAAAAAAAAAAACAGAAACTAAAAGCATTGCATCGCCTTTTTAGTTACATTTTCGGAAGCTTTTAAATAAAACCGATGAGAGGATTGTATTATAGATCCACGATAATATAAGTACCGTTTCCATTGTATCAATGAATGTCCTGAAGCAATTGACAGATAATCCAGAGTTTTTTCTAGTGTGCGCTTCGCTAATATTTGATATGAAAACGCTTTGTTTAGTAAGTAAGAGAAAGGTTTTTATATTCTTTTTTTTCTTTAATGACCAATCACTGACAGTATATATATGCCTAACAAGGCGAGAGGTCAGAAAGAAGAAAAAAGTCAAGAAAAGGAAAGATATAAGGAGACGGTTGCAGCCTATTGCGTCTGTGTGCCAAATCACACACACACACCTTTACC